TGTGTGCCTTCCCAGGGGCACGGGCTGGCGGGAGGTTCATTACGCCCAGACCGTCTTCCCCGGCGCGGCAATCTGGGGGAGGTCGAAGCAGCCTCGTCTCGTCCCCGATTGAGGCCGGGTCCCCCTGGGCACTGGGGCATTGGCAGCGCGGGTGGAGGGGGAGCAGAGATTAGAAGATGACGCTGGTCGCCCTGCAAACGCACGGCGGAAGCCCCTGTGTGCGCGGAGGAGGGCAAAGGGACCTCCTGCTCGCAGGGACGCCCGCTGTGGGACGGGGGCAGCTCCCGGGGGGCCGCCGAGTGCCCCCCCGCACTGCACTGTCACTGCGTCCTGCCCTGGACCCAGGTGCTCAGCCACCACCGTGACGCCCGGCCCCAGCGTGTCCCCGTCCGTCCCCACTGTAGGCGCAGGGGAAGACGAACGGAACTGTCCTCATCTCGTGCTTCATCGGGAGACGGTGCGGGAAGGGTGCAGAGCCCAGGGGGGAGCTGCAAGGGGGGGAGCACCTGCCTGGGGGGGCACCGCGGCTTGGGGCCACATTCTGCCCAGGCTGCTGAGTCCCTCGAGGAGGAATCGTTAGCTGAGGCTCAGCCGCTGACCAGGGGCACCCTGCACGCCAGGAATGGGGCCCCTGGGCCCCCACCCGCAGTCGTGCCAGCCAGCACCGGTGCCGGGCAGCAGCAGGCGGAGGGGAAGTGATTTCTCATTCCAAATCCAATTCCTCTCCAACACGAGCTGATTTTTCTTTCCCTCTTTTAATTCAGTCACTCAAGCTGACAGCTACACTGTGTACCGCAGCCCAGCTACAGGATTGCTCTGCCATATTTCCCCTGTAAATCTCCTGGTGTGTCAGCTCTCCCTTTCACTCTCCAGTCGGCCTGATAAATATTCATTTTATTGGGGTATTTTTCACTTTTTTCTCTCTCTCTCTCTGCAGCTCATTCCCCTCATTGGCTTCATCAGTGTTGGCCTGGGCAGTGCTGTCCTGTACTTGCTGAGGCTGGCCCTGTACAGCCCGGATGTCAGGTACGGGTTGGGGTGCCCCTGGACACCCCTTGGGCACTTGCCCCGCGCCCCTGGAGCTGGGGGGGCTGGTTGGGGGCCCCCTGGACACCCCTTGGGCCCTTGCCCCGCGCCCCTGGAGCTGGGGGGGCTGGTGGCCGGGTGTGGCGGGCGGGCGCGGGGGAGCACAAGGCACCAGGACGCACACTGACATCTTCATGGTGAGCAGTGGGAGTGGGAGGTTAATGAAACCGGGGTGCAGAGGTGCCTGGAGGAGGGGGAGGGGAGCTGGGGCACCATCCGCCCTCTCCTCTTCAACCTGCTGCCCTGGGCACTGCACCAGCTGCTCTGAAACTGGGAGTGGGCAGGAGAGAGACGCAGAGAGGTTACGGGGACTGCAGAGGGAGCAGGGTGGGTGGGTGGATGGATGGATGGACGGATGGATGGATGGATGGATGGATGGATGGATGGATGGATGGATGGACAGATAAAATCAGTATGTCACTGATGGAGACAGGGGAAGACAGTGTAGGGAGGGATCGATTGACAGAGGAATGGGAAACCAGTGGAATGGATGGTTGGAGAAGGAACGGGGAGAGAGAAAGAGGGAGGGATGGACAGACAAAAACAGTGTGCAAGGAAGAACAGAGAGGGAGAGAAGGGAGAGGAAGACAAGGTGTGAGGATGGATTGATGAGGAAGAGAGGGTGGATGGATTGCTGCAGGACAGAAAGGCATGCTGTGGCGCACCAGGCTAGGGTTCTTTTTTCCCTTGTAGCTCAGTGGCCCATGGTCCCCGCAGCCTCATGCTGTCTAATGCCTGTCTAATATTTGTTTGCTCCCGGTAAAACGCTCATTGATTTAATTTGATGCCAGCTGCCCAGGGTACTTAGCTCAGCAATTAGCAGATCCAGGCACCTTGTCTTTGATGGTGGAAGCACAGGATTGTGCGTGTGTGTGTCTGTGTCGGGGAGGGGGGGAATACAACAGCAGCACCACCCCCACAGCACATTAATGCTGTTATACAGCTCCAGGGGTCTGCATTTGCAGCACAGCTCCCCCCCCTCCATCCTCCAACAGGCGTGCGTGCACACACATGCACACACGCACGCATCTTCCCAGATGGAAAATTCTGCTCTTGGCCAACACCAGCAGATTGCAGGGGGACGGGAGAGGGGGAGACTTGAGCTGCTGTCTCCAGGGACCCATCCCACAGCTTTGCTGGCCTTCCACAACCCCTCCCGGGACAGGACAGGACGTGTCCTCTTTGAGGAGGCTCCATCCAGTTGCTCTGCCTGCTCATGGGTGCTGCACACGGCTGCTGTGCCCCTGCTTGCTCACAGCAGCCCCGCGCAGCAGGGCAGGCGGCGGCTTCCCCACTGACACCC